CAGTTGCAAAGCTTTTTCACATTTCTAGTCAATGACTGTTGAATACTCTCTTTCTGGAAAACCTTGAATCATTTTTCATGTGAAAGATAAATGAAGGATAGCCTAAGCAAAACTTCTACAGATTCACTTTTGTAAACTTGAAAACTTCCTTGCTATTCATCTACACATATTGGTTGTTTCTGTTTTCAATTTGTAAAATATTTCTATCAAACATTTTATGGATATACAACATACTATAAACACTTAGAGAATTTATAAGTACAAAGCTTGCTTAATTATCACATCTATGTAATAGGCAATCAGGCCAAGAAATTTGCTAACACCTGTATTATCAGTGAGAGGACAAGACCTCGCTGGTAATACAGGGATCGTATTGTCTTCTTGAAGGAAAGATTTCAGTCAGGAGACAAAGTGCAGCAAGGCAAGCAAAAATTTGTTGGCCACAGCAAAAGCACGCTCAGGACAGTGAAACAAGGTAGAGCTTAGAAGCTTAGAAGAAGCAACAGGAGAGCCGAGGCTGGGCTGCTTTAGCTCATTGGGAGGTCAGAGAAAAGGGTGGGGGCTTGGAGACAGGTTCAGGGAATTAGCCTTGGAAGAGCTGCTGCTGCCCATTGCTCCTCTGGTTGCAAGTCTCACGAAGTCCCTTAAAGGAAAGAAGGTGGAGAAGAGAATAGTTTGGTCATGCTCCCCTGAGGGAGGGTGTGCACTGGGTCCTTTGTATTAAGGATATTTATATCTCTTTTGCAGGTAGGAATCTTAGGGGAGATCTTAAGGGAGGATCTCAATAGAATATTTATTAGCTTTCCAGGGTTGTGGTTTCGGCTGATGGTCAGCCCAGGACAGGGAGTCATTAGTCAATGCAGGTGGTCCTGAGGTCAGCCATGGTGTCACTTGTCTGGGCCTGGAGATGAAACACAGGTGAGGCCTAGATGTATCTACAGGGAGGAAAGTTCAGTGGGTCTAAATTGCATCACCAGTGATATGTTAGGGGAGGAAAGGTTCCCCTGGGGCGAGGTTGTAGTTTTCCCCGTTTTGCTTGTTGCTAGGCTTTCCACCCTAATAACATTCTGTACCTGTTATAAATTGCTCTGCTAGCTCGTTTAGCTATTTGTCTCAGTTTCCCTGTTGTACTTGTCTTGGCTTACTGGCTTATCTCACCTAGACACATTAAACATCCATTTTACTGATTTTACCTCAAGTCTCTTACATTCATCCAAACTAATTAGCTTCTGAAACAGTTTATCCATTTGAAAAAATATATATAGTTTAACTTTTTTCTGCAAAAATTTGCGGCTAAGTTATAATCAACATTTATTTTTCAAATGCCCATTACCCCTGCCAGGAAATTTCCCAGATATTCCTTCCAAATGTCCTTCCATGTTTGAGAAAGAAGTATTGCCAAGTAATCCAGAAAAGAACATATATTACTATACTTCTTTAGTCAACTTGATTTGTATATATGATAAGATCTGTAATTAACTTCAAAACTGTGAAAAACATCAACTGAGTACATTTATAGATATAATTTACTTTTATCACTGATTCATGAATTGGGCAGCATCCCGGGGTCTAGCAGACAGAAAGGACCTCAGGAAGCTGGACAAAATGATAGGCTTTTATAGGTATAAAGCGGGCAAGACAAGGAAGTTATTATCAAAAATCAAATTGTTTCAGGCAAGGTCACCTTCGTTTAGGCAACAGGGGAAGGTGGGGGGTCTAGAGACAGATGCATCGCTAATGCTGACCAGGCTATTCCAGAATGGTTGAATGTTACATTTCCGGTAGAGGCGGAAACTGCAATTAGGCTAGGCAGTACATCCTGGTTTGCTGATGTGGGGCTTAGCAGAAGTGACTTCATTTTGGACCTATTGTTTCTTTTTTTCCTTTTTTAGCAAAAAAATATCCTTTATCATAGATGATCAGGAGTGCTTCATTGGCTTTTGAAAGACTCAGGAATTTCTTCCCTTGGGAATGGAAACCTAGATATTGGGATATCACATCCCAACTATAGATATGAAAACGTGTTGTGTGATTAAACCAGAAGATGAAATGAATGCTGCTGCTAGATTTATTGTGTAAGTCCTGTTACAGCTGTCAAAATGCAGACAGCTGGTGATTTAAGCTTGCAAATAGGGTTCTATAACTCTTTCCTTTGTTGTTTCTTAATAAATATTTGCCGATGTGGCAGAATTCAGTTTGAAATTAACTTTCATTATATCATACTGTCTGATAGCATGCTGTGGGAAAGAGGTTTATAGAATGAATTTTAAATATCCATTAATTGTAAACAACCCAATTGTCTTAGGCATATCAAGTCAATCTATGTTTTATAATATATATTGCATATTTTTATTCCTTCCTAGTTCTCCTACCCCAATTTATCCTTGCCAACACAAATGTCTTTTTTTCTTGAAGATCTCTTTTAATTAACCAAGATTCCAGGGTTTAAAAAAAATCCAACTAAGGTTAGTCCTGCTTCCAAATAGATAGAGAAAACATGGGGTCTAATTGATCTGGCGCAGCTGCTGCTTCTCAGTGACCTGAGTTAACTCTCTGGGAGACTGGTCTTACTCTTTGGAATTAAAACTAATCCCCTACTTGTGTGATCTGCTTGTTTCAAACCACTCCCTGAGTTCAGGGTGGATACACGAGCACAGCAGCTATACACAGTGAAATAATCACCCTTACATTTCCCCCCACTACTATGGTCATTCTTAGCCACAAACTCAATTGAAGCCAAATCTCCTTTATGAAATTCAGTCCACTGTTTTGATGATGAATCAATCACCCTAGAGGTTCTCATCTCTCAGGCTGTATTTCTCTTATCTGTGTCCTTTCCTCTAAACACCTCAGCTCACCAGAGGGTTCCTGAAGATTTGAATTATGGAATGGAAAGAGTAAAATGTGTCAAGCCCTACATTCCCAGAAGGCTTCTTGGTCTTCAATAGACATTTCCACTCTTTCCCATGCGACTGCCCTGCAGCAGAAAGGATCTGTGAGGAGCTCTCTTTGTTAAGATACAATAGATCCTTTTATACCCTCACCTTGTGCAAATGTGTCTCTGGCATAATATTTGCATGACTAAAAGAGGGATCTTCTTAACACAACAAAGATGATATGCCCAAGGTGACTTTCTGTATCTAGATGTAGAGGACAAAGAAAAGCCTGGCATAAAGTTTGCTCTCCTGAAAACAATAAAGCAGAATAGTTCTAGTTTATTCTTTTCACATTTAAAATCATCTTCATGTTTTAATGGTTCATTTCCCTTCAAGTTAACTTTTAATAAAAATGTATCTTTTTTAGCATAGATCCTATCTAGTTGATAATATAATAATTCACTGTAATGTTTTATTATTATATACATATATATTACAAATTAAGATTTTTGAAGAACAGAAAATAACATTAGCTAATATTGAGATACTGATTATATAAGTTAAAATATTTACATGTAGTCAGTATTTCTGTTCATATCACCATTCATATAGACACCCAAATATATTTGTATAAACAGATTAACTTAAATATTTAATATTTATAGTGCTATTTGAGTGACTTAAACAGATTTTATAGAAAGATCTGAAGATACATTACTAATTTATTTGCTTATATTAAAATGCAGCTTTATATTGTGTTACTACTTAAGAAGGAAAAAAAATTAGTGAGCCAATGACTGGCATATTTCAAAACTCTGAATATTCTTTTCTGAGTCTTCAAGCTTGGTTTATTCATTAGATAAATACTTTTGTTTCTGAGTAATCTTTGCATTTTTCATTTGTCTACTTTTATTAGCAGAACCTGATCATTTCTATGATTGCTTCTAGGTAGGCCTCTCAATTTTCCAGCTGAAATTTAGTTTTCAGCCATGTCCTACTGCTAGTTATAATTCTTTAAAAATATTATCTTTCCTGGAGCTTTTATTCTAACCTGTGGTATACAGATCTCTGTGGGGACTGAGTTTATACTTCAGGTTTTACAATGCAGTGGTATTTCCAAGTTTTCAGATCAAATAACCTCTAGATATGTAAAGGTGTACCACTGAAATTAGCTCTGTGGTCTCTCAACAAGATGTAAGGAAAGCCGCTGGGAGTTATAGTTCCTGGTCTTTCAAGAAGGTGAGTGTAAGGTTTCTCGCCGAGGAAGAAAGAGAAACAGAGCCGCAAAAGCCAGCAAGAAAGTTTTATGGGAGCACTCCCAGGCGAGGTTCGCTGGTCCCGGGTTCAGGCCAGGGAAGTCTGTCTGCCCAGGAAAGTTTTATAGGGGAGGTTGAGGAACAAAGAAGGGAGGTACTTGATTGGTCCGGGGGTAAGGTGGGGTAATTCTGCATCAGCTGCATCCGGATAGGCTGGAAAGTCCTGAGTTAGGTTTTGATTTCTCCTCGGGCCTGCCGTCTCTTTCCCCGAAGTCATGTGACTCCTCGGAGCCTGCCAAACTTACAGTGAGTTTTTTTTTTCCCCTTCTGCTTTCCTATATAAAGAGTGTGAGACTTTATTTTTATATATATTTTTGTGAGCTACCTTACATGCATGTTATTAATGTTTACTTTGGTACAAAGAATAATGAATTAAAAAAAAAAAAAAAAAAAAATGCCCAGTTCTAATTCCTAGAGCCTGTTAATGTGTTATTTGGTAAAAGGGATTTTGCAGATATAATTAACTTAAGGATTCTAAGATAGGAAATATCTGCTGGTTTACCCAGGTTTGCACAGTGTAATCCTTGTAAGGGGAAGGGAAGCAGGAGAGGCAGAAGCAGAGAAGGGCATATAACGACAGATGCAGACATTGGAATGATGCAGGTCTATGAGCCAAGGAATGTGGCCAGCATCTGGAAGACGACTAAAGTAAAGGCACAGATTCTTCCCTAGAGTCTCCAGGAAGTATGCATCCCTCCCAGCATTCCAATTTCAAGATTTTTTTATTTTATTTTATTTTTTTATATTGAGTTTTTATTGGTGATTCTAAGAATATGTGTTTATAACAATTAAAGTGTGATCTGTGACTTTAACATATTAAAAGAGTTTTATAGCATCTGTTCAGAAAAGATTATATACTATACAAACTATTCAAGTCTTACAAAACCATTTTTCAGTGTCTTTTCAACTGAGAAGAATCCTATTCAGCAGGCTTCTGCTCCTGAGGTGGTTCATACTGAGCAAGCTTTGTTTTCAGTTTTTTATTTTCTTCTACAATAGCTTCATATTTCTCTTTCATTTCTGCCAATTCTAGGCAAAGCAGCTCTATTTCTGGATTTTCTGGGGTAGCAGCTCCTAAGTGATGCTTTAAAAAATCCAAAGCACTATTAGGTTTCTCCGGTTCTTCATATAAGGCTACCAATACCTTGGTCAGCGTGTCCAGCACTCCCGACTTCTCCAAGTACCGCTGGAACTGCTCGTGCTTCGAGTCAACGGCTTTGTAATGAGCCATAGTGACAGCCAAGACTTAAAAAAAATTTTTTTAAATTGATTTTAGAGTCCACCCTGGCCGGTTTGGCTCAGCGGTTAGAGTGTCAGACTGCGGTCCCGAGAGACCCGGGTTCGGTTCCTGCTAAGGGCACGTACCTCAGTTGCAGCCCTGGTTGGGTTGTGCGGGTGGCAGCCACTCAATGTGTCTCTTTCACGTCGATGTTTCTCTCTCTCTCCCTCCCACTCTATCTGAACAAAATATCAAAAAACGTCCTCGGGTGAGGATAAATAAATAAATTGATTTTAGAGAGAGAAGAAGAGAGAGGGAGAGAGAGATAGAAACATCAATGAGAGAGAATATCAATTGGATACCTCCTCCATGCCCCCCATTGTAGATTTGGCTCACAATCTGGGCATGTGCCCTGACTGGGAATCCAACCAACGATCTCTTAGTGCATGGGTGGACACTCAATCACTGAGCCACACCAACCAGGCTCAAGACTTTTTGATACAAGACACTAGATAGGTTCAAGGCTGCCTGTCTCTACTTGAGCCAAATTAAGCAGAGACAGGGTTGAATATATGAGCATTTATTTCAATAATGCTGGTAGTATGGGGAGAACAATAGGTTATCCTGAAAATCCTGCTCTGACCCACCCTTACCAATTGGCTGATTATATATGGGCAAGGGAGAAAATAACGATGTGCAACTGTGAGCTGCAAGTGTAACAGGGAAAGGGGAGTATGGGATCTGTAGTCTGGCCTCCAGGATCTCAAAGTTCGATAACACGATGGCTAATCTATGATGTTACAAAGAGTTCAGCCCATTCCTGAGACTGGAGAATGGTCAGCATTTCTCAGGCAAACCCCAGAAGGGGGTCAGGGTCCAGGCACAACAACTAAATCAAAGTGTGTCCTGTCCTTGATCTGTTCTAAAATGTATTTCTTTTCTGAGTAATGGACCCATCCATACTTCAAGGCATCTTCTTGTAGCACATCCTCCAGTTTCCCAGGGTCTGTGAGATAAACTCTTATCTATAGTTAGTAAGATGAATAATCATTAAACAATCCTGGTTCTATTCTTATCATGTGGCCTCCCCCTATCATTTTGACATGCAGAACTATAAGAGAATAAATTTATTTGGATCAAAACATTTTGTAGTATTATATTACAGCAAAAAACAACCAACTAATATGCATACTCAATAATAAATTGTATTCTTTTTCTCATCTACATTGGTATAGAAGAGTCTTTTGGTTAAAAGGATTGTTGTATTTCCCCAACAACATAGAAATAGAGGTAATATTATCGTATCATAAATTTAAAAAATAGTTTGAAAGCTTTTGTCATGATTTTACTAAATGTTCAAGTCACCCCCAAATTCATATGTTGAAATTCTGACCCTCAAGGTAATGGTATTTGGAGGGTATGCCTACGAGGGGTAATTGGATCAAGGGGGTAGAGCTCTCATAAAAGAGATCCCAGAGATCTCTCTCACCATTTTTTTTTTTTTTTTTTTTGATACCATGCATGGATACCATGAGAAGACCTTCTTGAATCAGTAAGTGGTCTCTCTTTCATAAAACATTGAATATGCCAGCACCTTGATTTGCAACTTCCCAGCCTACAGGGTTGTAAAAAATAAATCTTGTTGTTTAAACCACCTGTTTTATGATGCTTTGTTATGGCAATCCGAATGAAATAAGACTGTGGTATTTCATAATTTTTTCTATAGTGCAAGTCTAAAGATGCTTATGTATTTTTTGGTTAATAATGCATTTTTAAAATTCTATACTCCTTTGGTAAAAATGGACTAATGAAAGATAGTGCATTCTAAATGAAATATATGTAGTGCATTTTCTTTTAAGGAAGTTTATGAGGAGCACAATATTTGCTGACATTAGTTATCTACCATGACAGGGCAGTAGTAGGGATATCAATAAACCTATGTAGTGAGAAGAATCAAGTCTTCTGAGGAAGTAGCACAATCCACTTTAACAGTGATACTTATAAGAATGTGGTGAAATGTTGCATGTGCAGCTGCAGAAATAACATTTCCATATAACTCTGAAGATTTACTTTTCATTTAGTTCAAATTATTATTTTTCTTTTATCATTTAATTAAAATTTTCTTGTGTACATAGAAAGTGAATTGATATTTGTAAATGTATTAGGTCAATTAGCAGAAGAAAATATTTAGAAACAAAGGCAGACAGTTTTTATAACATCATCTTGATAACATTGTAATTAACCTACTTATTAATAATAGAAAAGGAGCAAAGGGGCAAGCCACATTTTATAGGCATGCTATTTAGACAACTTCACCAGGAACTTGACACTTTCCAGGTGTCCAACAAAGGGGAGAGAGACACATGCCCAGTACAGCTGGGGTGACATAGAGAAGATGCTTGCTGTCAGTCACACCTGAGAACAAAAGTCGTTGACTAGAATGGGTGTGGCCACTGCAAGGGCTTGAAATTTGGGATATTTAATCTCCCAAACAAAAGAACTCACTCTCTCTCTCTCTCTCTCTCTCTCTCTCTCTCTCTCTCTCTTGCCCTAGCCAGTTTGGCTCAGCGGTTAGAGCGTTGGCTTGCGGTCCAGAGAGACCCAGGTTCAGTTCCCGCTAAGGGCACGTACCTCGGTTGCAGTTTGTCCCCGGCCCTGATTGGGTCGTGTGGGTGGCAACCACTCGATGTGTCCCTTTCGCGTCGATGTTTCTCTCTCTCTCCCTCCCTCCCTCCCACTCTATCTGAACAAAATATCAAAAAATGTCCTCAGGTGAGGACTAAAAGAAAAAAACAAAAGAACTCACTCTCTTGTGCTCTTATGCTTTCAGGACCCTTGAGACTCTTGTTGTTTGGGGCATGGTCTCCTGCATTTTCCCACATATAATGGACTAAAGGACTGCAACTAGCCTGATACTATACTAGACCTGCTTCCAACAAGGAAAAAAAAACACACAAAAAACTCTGGACACTGGCTTGTTTCTAGTTTTACTGAAACCCCAGCTACGCTTCTATGACAGCACTAAGGGAAATGAGACTTTAGAAACACAGAAATTTAATTCCCCGCAAATAAAAATCATTCATTCTCCTATGTGAGTCTCAGAAAATTATTATTATTATTATTTTTTTTTTTATTATTTTTTTTATCCTCACCCGAGGATATTTTTCCATTTTTTGTACAGATAGAGTGGGAGGGAGAGAGAGGAAGGGAGAGAGAGAGAGAAACATCGACGTGAAGGGACACATCGAGTGGCTGCCACCCGCATGACCAACCAGGGCTGGGGACAAACTGCAGCCGAAGTACGTGCCCTTAGCGGGAACCGAACCCGGGTCTCTCCGGACCGCAGGCCGACGCTTTAACCGCTGAGCCAAACTGGCCAGGGCTCAGAAAATTATTTTTCTTGAGATATCATAAAACTTCACCCCTAGCACTCAGTGGGGAAAAGAACCCCCTACTTTGTCCAATAACAATTAACTAAACAGAAAATTACATGAACTGCAAAAAATTGTTTAAGTATATTTATCCAATTTATGAAATCAAAGCATTTGAAGGTATATTTTATTAAAAGTGGATTATATGATATCTTAAAATATAAATTTGGTTAAAATTACATCAATAATAAAATTATTTTTTAATGATAAAATGCATTCAGAATTTGATGAGGCAAATATCATATGTAAATAATATTTTTTAATTCAATTTAGAAAACAATGAAGCCAAAATAACCTTGTAATAGGCAAATATATATCTCATGATTTTATTACAAATATTTTGTAAAAATACCTCATCTCTGTGTTGTTTTTGTTGGGGGTGTGTGTGTGCGCGCGCGTGCGCCAAGAGAGAGAGAGAAAATGAGAGAGAGATTCCTTTAGAGGGGTAGAGTTGGGGATATTGTGGGCATGACTACAAAAAACAAACAAACAAACAGCATTAAATGGGTGAGATTGTGCTGAAATCACAGATCAGTGGAGAATCCACTCCAGTTTAAATGAGTTATTCCTTACCTGCTCTTCTTGTTTTTTCCAGAGATACGTCTTCTTTGCCACACGTCTACAGTTTTTAGGTCTTTCGCTCGCGTAAGTGCCTTCTGTAACTCTTCAGATTATCACTTGATGAGTTGAGTTCTGTTAAAGGTACTGAAGTGATCCAGAATCCCTGAAGCTGCCTTTTTGGGATATTGATTTTAAGCTGTTTATTAAGAAATAAGACTCAGGAAGAATTTTTGACCCTCTCCATTTTTCTGCCAAGAGATTCAGACAGAAAAAGTGCCTCAAGAAGGCCACCTTACGGTGCTCACCTGAGCCTAATTTGAATTAAGTAAGGTAAAGAGGAGGGCTTCAGGCAGGGGCCTGTTGGCTAGATCCAGCCCCCCCCCCCCCCCGTGTCTGTTATTTCCGAGTTGCCAGAAAGGATTTGTCTGCCAAGTGTGTTTCCCTCTTCCTCAACTACCTGTAATTGCCTATTCTCACTTCCGAAATTAAAGACCTCATCTTTTCATTTCTCCTTTGTCCAAAATGTCATGTATACCCAATGTTGTCTCACTGTGTTTGGGATTTTCATGCTTATGTGAATTCCCCACCCACATGTAATAAAATTTGATTTTCTCCTGTTATTCTGTCTTTGTTAATTTGGTTATTAGCCAAGGAAGAAAACTTAGAAGGTGGGAAGAAAAGTATTGATTTTTTTAGCCCCCACAGTATGAGACAGGATAGGAATAAATTTGGAAAATTCCTTGGCAAGTGAAATGGGGAAACAGAGACAGGGAGCTGGCTCCAGCTGGCCTCATCCAGCCCCCTGCCGCACCTGCTGCCTTCTCCCTTGTACAACCATTCCCTGAAGCATTAAGCCCTCAGGGCAGTGAGGTTCTGATCAGCATCCAATAATAGTAGGAACAAAGTCTCAGGTCTATTCACCACAGAAACAGAGTTTTTTGTCAAACTGGAGATGACATCTAGGCCTCAGTTGTGTTTCAGCTCCAGGACCAGAGAAGTAGCAAAACCAGACAAAGCAACACC